CTCTTCACTGAGAACCAAATTTTGGACATCATTAAATCTCAACTTATTGCTTCCCGATGAGCTACTCACTTCTGTGACTGTAGCATTCCAGCTTTCTGGTAGGGAAGACAAAAGTATTAAAGCCCGTACTTCATCATCGAACTCGATCCCAACTGAACTCAACTGGGTTGTAACAGTGTTGAGCTCATTGAGATGATTTGCCACCGGAGCACCTTCGGTCATCCGTAGGTTGAACAATCGCCTCATAAAATGAACTTTATTTGAGGCTGATGGTTTCTCGTACATGTTAGAAAGCGCCTTCATGAGGCCTGCTGTCGTCTTTTCTTTTGCAATGTTAAAAGCAACATTACGGGATAACGTCAGTCGAATGGCTCCAAGGGCCTGTCTGTCAAGGAGACTCCATTCTTCCTCCTTCATATCTTCTGGCTTCTTTCCCGTGAGTGGTTGATACATATTCTTCTGGTACAGATAATCCTCGATCTGCATCTTCCAGAAGCCAAAGTCCGCACCATCGAACTTTTCAATTTTCATTTTTCCTTCGTCTGCAGCCATCACTTTGAATCTGATCTGACTTCTCTGCCGGATCATTTCTGTAATTTTGTGAACTACCGTGTTTCAGAACACGTGGGTAGATAAATTTGTAGCGCCGGCAAATTTGGCACTATTCCCGTTTTTCACTATTCACGGAATAGTAACCGACAAAAAAAAAAAATACAGAATTAACAATCTGGCTCTGATACCAGTTGTTGGGAAAAATACGCTGAAATTTCCATGAAGTCGGATCTATAAAAGTGAAATAAAAGAGAAAAATTGGGCACACCAAATTGATAACAGAGTTCGGCCAATACTGCTTACGTCTCCGGACTACTGCAGATATTTTATTGGGAAAAAGAAATACACTCGTGTTTACAAAACACTCGTAAACTCACTCACAACTCACAACTCAAAAATACACAAAAGCTAAATTTTTATTAGCTCTTTCTCTCTCTTTTCTTTCTGTATTTTTGTTGTGGTTTTAGTGTGTCTTAAGCATCAGATTTGCTTCTCTATTTATAGGGGAAGATTGCACAATTATTCCACATCCGTGTGCTTAAATCCTTCAACAAAGTTGTGCTGATTTTGTTTTCAACCGGGCTGCTGAGCAATCATTTTTCTTATTTTGGTTGTTGTCAGAGAAAGTGGGCGCAGCCCCTTTTTGAATTAACAGGCTGCTCGGAGCTTCGTTCACGATCTAGTCGTCAATTCACATAACTGAAAACAAAGTCCTAAACATGCTACTCGCTTGATTTGGGGGTTGATTAAGCTTATTTTGACTCAGAATTGAAACCAAATAAACTTGACCAAAATGAAATAAACAAAGAGAAAACATGCGAGCAAAGTGATTCTAGGTAATCTAACACGAGACTTCTTAATAAAATCATCACGTTTTGAGCAAAGTCGAGACCTTTATCCAAGATAAGCACGTAATGAGTTCCCAACAAGTGTAAGCAAGCAATGAAAAACAAGCAAAGTCCTAAAATCGAGCATAGACACAAAATTTCGGCCAAAACACAAACTCGAACCAATAAGCCCTAACCAAGGTACTTACCCTTCTATCCCAAGCTCGGACGAAAATAATGCGTAAACATCGAATTTTGAATAAAAATAAGGTCGTCGGAAAATGTCAAGTTTTTTACTTCCAAACCAAAGCATAAAATAAAAGAGAGAAAAAGAGCTAATTTCCCAACTAAAAAGTTGGAAAAAGAGGTAATATTTATAAATACAAAGCACAATGTCTATTTATAGTTACACCACAAACACACACTAAAACATACACATTTAATGAGAAAAACTCGCCCAAAATGCGAAA